TTACGCCTCCTTATAGAAAGTGAATAAACGACACAAAACTAACAAGCACTATCGTTTCAAGTACGTTTTTGTAAAGCGAAAACAGTATGCATTTTGATGTTCTAAACAACGACAATGTTCCATGTACAAAAAGAAGACGATCTAGGTGATGGAACTGCAATGATTAGTTAATACTTAATGCAATGGTATTTTTGAGCTTTTAAACCTGGGTGATGGTGTAATCCGAGGCCAGCGCTGCCTGCATACCCTCCTGTCCTGAAATGCCAACTCCAACATCAGCTTCCTGAAGCATCGCGACATCGTTGGCACCATCACCTATTGCTAGCACAGCTCCGCACACATTTGCTTTCACGAGTCTGGTCACAGCAGCCTGCAGATGATTTTGAAATCTAGCTTAATCAAGGTGTAGCTAAATTTTGTGAACATACTTATATGAAGCCTAGTGATTCTTTTCTCAAGCTCAAATAACGAATGATGTTAAGCCGCACTATAATCCTTCTTATTCAGCTTATAAAGGAACGGTGTTGGGTCAGTGTGGCCGTTTGAATTGATTATAATGAAAAGGATCTGAAACGGTAATTCCAAACCTGCGTTCCGTATCTGCCATGGGATCCCGGAGGAAAGTTATGCAGACAAGTTCTAAAGGATTTTCGACATATTAGTATTCTAGTAAATGTAACAATGTCTAATATGGATCGTTTGTTTTTGGGAGTAAAAAAGTATAAATGCGTTGCATATGCAGCGCTTCAATACTGCAGAAATGTAGATTTTAGTGAGTTTGCAAAAAGCGTAAGTTGACATCTCGATCACGTAAATGTTCTCCTTTTTTACGTCTTTATTTTAAGGTTTTGGTGGGTATGCCCTTCAAACAGATCTTAAAATAGATGACTGATCGCTTTTTTTACCGCTGTATTATACTTATGTGAACAGTATGTCAAAGAACCCGCTAAAACAAGACAAATCGATACAAATTATCTTTTACAACATACTTCCTCCTCATAGAATGGGTTAACGTGAGAAATTATGATTTTTGTTACCCAAATGTCAACTACCAATTTGGCAAAATTTCGGCAAAGTCCTCGAAGATTTGAGCCACGTATGCGGCGTCCTTCTAAAGTCCCGAATAAAT